ACACAGTACACACACATAGTACACACACACAGTACACACACAGTACACACACAAAGTACACACACACTACACACACACACTACACACACACACAGTACACACACACACACAGTACACACACAGTACACATACAGTACACACACACAGTACACACACACAATATACACATACCACACACACACAGTACACACACACAATATACACATACCACACACACACAGTACACACACACAGTACACACACACAATATACACATACCACACACACACAGTACACATACAGTACCCACACACAGTACACACACACAATATACACATACCACACACACACAGTACACACACACAGTACACACACACAGTACACACACACAATATACACATACCACACACACACAGTACACACACACAGTACACACACACAATATACACATACCACACACACACAGTACACACACACAGTACACACACACACGGTACTCACACGCGGTACACACACAGTACACACACACAGTACACACACACAATATACACATACCACACATACACAGTACACACACACAGTATACACCCACAGTACACACACAGTACACACACACAGTACACACACACAATATACACATAGTACACACACACAATATACACATAGTACACACACACAGTACACACACACACACAGTACACACACTACACACACACACATTACACACACTACACACACACACACAGTACACACACATAGTACACACAGTACACACACAGTACACACACAAAGTACACACACTACACACACACTACACACACACACACTACACACACACACAGTACACACACACACAGTACACACACAGTACACATACAGTACACACACACAGTACACACACACAATATACACATACCACACACACACAGTACACACACACATTACACACACTACACACACACACACAGTACACACACATAGTACACACAGTACACACACAGTACACACACAAAGTACACACTACACACACACTACACACACACACACTACACACACACACAGTACACACACACACAGTACACACACAGTACACATACAGTACACACACACAGTACACACACACAATATACACATACCACACACACACAGTACACACACACAGTACACACACACAATATACACATACCACACACACACAGTACACATACAGTACCCACACACAGTACACACACACAATATACACATACCACACACACACAGTACACACACACAGTACACACACACAGTACACACACACAATATACACATACCACACACACACAGTACACATACAGTACCCACACACAGTACACACACACAATATACACATACCACACACACACAGTACACACACACAGTACACACACACAATATACACATACCACACACACACAGTAAACACACACACGGTACTCACACGCGGTACACACACAGTACACACACACAGTACACACACACAATATACACATACCACACATACACAGTACACACACACAGTACACACCCACAGTACACACACAGTACACACACACAGTACACACACACAATATACACATAGTACACACACACAGTACACACACACACACAGTACACACACTACACACACACACATTACACACACTACACACACAGTACACACACATAGTACACACACACAGTACACACACACAGTACACACACAGTACACACACAAAGTACACACACTACACACACACTACACACACACTACACACACACACAGTACACACACACACAGTACACACACACACACTACACACACTACACACACACACAGTACACACACACACAGTACACACACAGTACACATACAGTACACACACATAGTACACACACACAGTACACACACAGTACACACACATAGTACACACACAGTACAAACACAGTACACACACACAGTACACACACAAAGTACACACACTACACACACACACACACAGTACACACACACACTACACACACACAGTACACACACAAAGTACACACACTACACACACACAGTACACACACAAAGTACACACACAAAGTACACACACACAATATACACACACCACACACACACAGTACACACACACACTACACACACACAGTACACACACAATGGTACCACATCCAACCGCATAGGCGCATACGAGTGAATTCAACCTGCATTTAGCAGATTTTGGGTATAAATTGGTTAGCAGCATATCGCGAAAGCTCAACGAACCCAATACACAGAGCAAAGGAAACCGGCATATCTTGTACCCACTCGACATCCGTTGGCGCTGTCCACTAACACGTTATCAAGATGGCATTTCCAGCTATTGGCACGGTGCGGTGCGTGCGGTTACATAACGTGGCTTCGTTGCAATGCGCGCAAAGCGATCCGTGTGTTCCTGCATAACACCCAGCGTCGGAACCAAGGGGAGGATTAAGCTTTCGCCTCTGGGACCCGCAAATCATTGTTATGCAACGCATATTTATTCGTTTTAAGAAGCTCCTGAGAGTAAGACGGCACTCCGAACTCGTGCCCAATGTCAATAAAGTCATAGCAATCCGGACACACACACACAAACCACGTCAAACCTAGTGACGGTGACGTCGCCATAGCGCTTGTGCCAAGCTAGGTGCACTTTTAGGCCACGTGAAGTAAGGAGGGCTTGCCCCGGCAGGAGGTCAAGGAACAGACCCAGGTGTTAGGGGTTGACTCTCACTTGAGATGAACCCAAACTTCACCCAGAGGGCCTGGTCCTGCGATGGGCGCTGAGAGTTAACGAATTAGCAAGCAATTTAGTCGCTAAGCTATTGCCAATTATATAATAGATTCCATAATAGCACTAGTCTCTGGTGCCTGTGGCAGACGTTTCTTACCTGTGTCTTGCCCACCTGTGACAGCACTTGCCTTTTCACGCGCGTCCATGCGTGCATCAACGCATGCGTGCACGCGCGTCTGTGCGTGCGGGGAGCGGTGGTGCAGTCTGCTTTGTGGATTGCGTTTGATTCCCCTGTATGAAGAACGTCAGTGGCAAGTGAACCTCTTCTGGGCCACTCCTAGATCAACTCGGCCTTAAATGAGCATCTAGATGCGGAGTGTAAACGTCAGTGCTGCTGATTGCTATGCATATTTACATCGCGTAATTTGCAGGATGTAACATTTTTTTTGGATGCATGTCACTGGCACACGACGGCGAATGACATCGCGGGACGTTGAACTCGCACCGTGAAGCGAACGGCGCGTTTGCTCTGGGCTGGTAGACCCGCGGTAATAACCGGGGCGGCCGCTTTGGGTCGAACCGCGAAGCTATGCATCAAAAAGCGGCAAAACGCCGTTACCGCGGGGCCATTCCACCACTGCCCCGATCGACGAACGCACCACTTTCAATTGAATTCTTGAATCTGTCCAGGTCACCTGATGAATGGCAAAAAAAAACACCGCAAAAAAAGCGGTAGTTTCTTTTTTATTTAAGTCAGGGCGACCACCTCTGAGCCAGACTTGACTTGCACAAAAATGCCGTCGATCCGGTAGCAGCTACGTAATGACGAACGCGGCGCGCGCACACAAATATACAAATACAGTGGAACTGTGTGTCGGGGGTGACTGGTTGGCATGGGGTTCACAATGGCCGTGTCATAATGACGACGATGATGATGATGACCAAACTTGGTGCCTGCTGATGACGACCATGATGATGTTGGTCATCATTGCAGAGAAGCGCCGATCCAATAGAAGTTTCGTTTTAAGATGATGACGATGATCACGACTACAAACTTGCATGTGTTTTGATGCTTTTTAAAGTTACTTGTACCTACAATACTGAATGATAATAATTTGGGATGATGATGATGAGGCTGTGGACTACTTACTAAATGGTGACGATTGATGACAATTGTACTGACATTACAGTACTCGATCATCACAATGATGATGTTGATGATTGGCACAGATGCATGAAGATACAGGTCCCCTGTATAACCTTCGCAGGCTGTTCAAGCAACTACTGCTGGCACCACGCCCGGCCACCTTTTCGGCTCCTTCTGTCTGAGTCAACCTAGGGGGGGGGGAAGGGTCAGGACGCATTCACAAAATGACCACCGATAATCGTGTTCGCCATGGCCAGGAATCGAACTGACCACTACACCACCCACTCGCTGCCTTCGTCCTATGCAGACAAACAAAGACAAAGGTCACCCGTGTAGCCTTAATAGACTGTTGGAGGAAAGTGCTATTAGCATGGTGTGCGAGGGGGTGGGGCGGCCAGCACCGCGCCTGGCTACCTTTATCTCGCTAGTGGCGATGTTCACGCACACTGCACCTGGTACTCATTTGAGGCTCAATCGACCTAGGCGAGGCCCAGGGTAGGTACAGATAAAGCGTCACTGGCGTTGACCGTGAGCAGGAATCGAACCCGGGTCGCCGGGTTCGTAGCGCGGCGTGCGAACCGTTGCACTACCGCAGACGTACGCACAAAAAATTAACCCGTAGAAACAAAGTTTTTCACTGTAAATCCTTTATGTGCGTGGTGGCATCGGTTTTATTTTATTATTCATTTCTGTTTTTCTTGAGTAAGAGTTTCATTTTTATCACATTGCTATTTTAAATTAAATATGAATTTTTTTTTTCCTACAAAGTGGAAAATTTTGGAAAAAATTTTCACGAAAATAAATTGTCACGCACAACGAGGTCTGTGTGCAAAATGTCAGCTCGATTGGATCAAGGGAAGTGGGTTAAAAAACGACCGAAAGATTTGCACGGTCGTAAGCGCGCAAGCAAGCAAGCAAGTGAACTTAATATAAAGGATTTAAAAAGACAACGATCCCCCGTATAGCCTTCGCGGACTGTTAGGGCCAAGTGCTGTTAGCGAGCAGCACCACAGCAGGCCGGCACGGCACACGCGGGGGTGGGTGGCCAGCACCACGCCCTCACACAAACCTCTCCTCGTCCTCCCCCCCCCCCTTGTTTCCGTCTCGCTCGCTCGCTCGCGCAGCATGGGTGAGCAGCCCCCCATAGAGATGAGCTGCCTGGCCAAGAAGTTGGAGGCTCTGCAGTCCGACTCGGAGTCCGCCTGCCGCGTGGAGGACGAGGAGGAGGAGGGGGGGGGCGACGCCGCCGCCCGCTTCTGGGAGGCGCCCGACTTCTGCATGGCGTGCGCCCAGCGGCACGGCCCGTCCGAGGGCCACGCGTACGACTACCGGCAGGAGGTTGACGAGGACCTGACGTGCCGCGTGTGCCTGGAGCCGCTGCTGGGCCCGCTGGACACGCCGTGCGGACACACCTACTGCCGCGAGTGCCTGCGCGGGATCGCGGCTCGCGCCGCGGACGACCCGTGCCCACGGTGGGTCTTTGTCCGGCGAGCAGGCGAGCACGGGCGGTGAAATAACCAAAACTTTAAAAAATTGTTAAACAGGTAAGGCCCCACTGAGCCATGTAGCGCTTTTTCAGAAGCGACTTGGCCACCGCAAATGATAGCTCAACGAAGTGGCTTATCGCGTGGAGATGTATAGCAAGAAAATACTCTAAGACGCGTGTTTCTAAATGTGGAAGTAAAACCTGGAGGAACCGGAGAAAAGTCCACACGGCCACGGGGAGAACTTGTAAATTCCAAATACGCAGCAGGCATCGGGGTCGGGATCGAACCCACGACCTCCTGCATACCAGGCGAGGTAGTCAACAGGCGCAAGGTAGGAGCGGGGAGCCGACAGCACGGAAGGCTGGTGGAACACAGGTTCAAAGTTCAAAGTTCATTTATTAGGTATAGCCCTGTGAGCCATTCGGCTCTTGAATCGGGTGCAACCGCAACAAACAAAAAACAAAAACATGAACAAGAAAACATCTTAAAGTGACTATGTGCAAACAGAAAATCCAAGAAAAGACAGCAAAATATTGCAGAAAAAATCACCGTACACCAACCCTGTGTGCAAATATCCCAGTGGGATGCAAGTCAAACAACAACAACCACAAGACAACTTAGATTAAGGCCATCAGTCTAACTCTGTACTACAACAAACATAGATTAAGGCCATCAGTCTAACTCTGTACTACAACAAACATAGATTAAGGCCATCAGTCTAACTCTGTACTACAACAAACAAACAGGGAAGTTCATTCATTAGCCTGGCTGCAGCTGTCGGCATGGCCCTCGAGGTTGCTGCGTTCATGTGACTCTGCGCGCTTTAGTGGCTTGGCCTGTTTTTTTCGTCGTCGTCGTTGTCAATGATTTGCCAGATTTTGCCACCGGAGTCGCTCGTTAACCCGACATTTTCTAGCGTCAGTCGTTGCTCCCAAGTTCTCTGGCCCCGCGTGACCTCCCTCCCTCCCTCCCGCTGGCAGGCGCAGTAAGTCACCTTCGCTAAATCTCACTGCAACGCTCAGACACTCCGCGTGAGTACATGCGAGTTTTTATTTTGGCATTTTAAGTACGTAAAACTAAGCTGAAACACAAATTGAGCAATCGTTTGAAGGACGTGATTAACCAGGTAAAGTCTTAACTTGCTATGATGTTTCCATCCCTTCTACCGATGTTAACTGACTCTCTGAGTTTCATTACTAGGATGGATGTCTTTGTATTGACAGGCTGGGTGTCCACTGCCCCAGCCTCTGTGCTTGGACCATCTCTAGCTCCACCCACCTACCTTGATGCACCCATCTCAGGCCTATTTCAGACCTTGTCACACGCGCACGTACACACATACACACACAACAACAACCGCCATTCGCCACTAAGTGGCGGTGACGTCACCACGATGCTTGTGCCAGGCCAAGTGCACCTTGAGGCCACGTGAAGTGTCGAAAGCCCGCTGGCAGGAGGTCACGGGGCAGACCCAGGTGCCACTCGTCGACTGACCGAGATGACCGAGATGACTGGCTGATGCACCACCTGTGCCCCCTACTGTGCCAACTTGCTGTGCTTTAGCCACCCGGCGCTCCGCTCGTTGTTGTGAGCGTCGCTCCTCCGCCCTCCGTTGTTGTTGGAGGGCGACTGCCTCCAACTGCCCAGTAGCGTCCTTCACGAGCCTCCTCCACTGAGGCCGATCTTGACACCGCTGGTACCAGTCATCGGCAAGTCCACTCAGCTCCACGTCCTCCTGTACCACATCACTCCATCTCTTCTCCAGCCCGTGCCGCGCCCGTCTAGCCCCCTCGATCCGGCCGAACAAAAGCTGTTTAGGCATGCGGTGGCTGGGCATGCGGGCTACATGACCCAGCCAACGCAGCCTTGCCTGCCGGAGGAGCTCACTGATGGGACTTTGCCCAGATCTTTCAAGGATTTGTGAGCTCCTCACACAATCCAGCCTGGTTAAACCCAGGATGGATCGTAGGCAGGCCAGCCTAAATGTTTCCAACCGGCGAAGATGCTCCACCAGGGGGGTCCACGTCTCGCAAGCGTAGAGAAGGGAGGGAATGACCGTGGCCGAGAAGACCTGAAGCTTCGTGCGGAGCGACAGACCAGGTAGCTTCCACACAGCGTTACGCAACCGATGAAAAGATATTGCCGCTCGACTGATTCGGAGTGAGACCTCTGCTGATAGACTGGAGCCGGTCATAAGCATACTGCCCAGGTATGGGAAACTCTCCACTCTCTCCACAACTGCCCCATCACCAATTGGGAGTTGTGGGGGTGGAGTGTCCGATGGTACAAAATACCCAGGCAGGTGCTTGGTTTTGGTGGGGCTGATGGTAAGGCCCCACCTCTTAGTGGCACGCTCCAGTCTCAGCAGCAGCGCCTCCAACTCCTCTTCTGAATGAGCAGCTATTACCAAATCATCGGCATACATAACGTGGTTGACCAATAGGGAGCCATCCCTTGATCGCACCCGGGCGTCGATCAGCCTCCCATTATATCTGTACCAAACGGAAATTCCCCCGGTACAGCTATTGAAGGCTTCACGAACTACGCGGTCAAAATAGATGTTAAATAATGTGGGAGCCAGAGGACATCCCTGTCGCACCCCAAGGTGTACAGGGAAAGGCTCCAACTCCCGGCCACGTAGTTTTACCCGGGCCCGCTCACCATCATGAAGGTCCTTAATGATCGTGAGCAGAGGGTCAGGGACTCCGAAAGCACGAAGAACAACCCAGAGTCCAGTCCTACTGATGGTATCATAGGCCTTGACCAGGTCAATAAAGCAGAGATGTAGGTCTTTTTGGAATTCCCTACACCTCTGCTGTAGCAGACGGACAGAAAATATGGCATCTGTGCAGGACCGCCCTTTCCTGAAACCGCATTGGGGCTCCGCAAGCCCCTCCTCAGCGTGCCTAGCAAGGCGATGTTGAATAATCCTTGCCAGGACCTTACCCGGCACACTGAGGAGTGAGATGCCCCTGTAGTTGTTACAGTCTGTGCGGTCCCCCTTCTTAAAGAGGGGGACCACCAGGGCATCCTTCCAGTCCTGCGGAACCCGTCCAGTGGTCCAGACTGTTGTTATGATGTCATATAGGGCAGTCTGTGCACAAACGCCACACTCCCTCAGCATTTCGCTTGGGAGATCATCTCTGCCCGGTGCCTTCCCTGGTCTCAGACTCCGGATCGCCCTCAGTACTTCCTCAACAGCTGGAACCTCAGCCAGCCACTCACAGGGGGTGACCTCTTCCAATATTTGAGGCACCGCAGCCTCAGCAGGGTTATCCCCACTTTGTGCCATGATGTTTTCCTGGCTGAGAGAATTTCCCTCCCCCAGGACCTCACAGAAATGCTCAGAAAATCTGCAAACCTGTTCCTGGGGGTCGGAGATTGGATCACCGTTTTTTCCTCTAATGATGGTAATAGGTGTGGCGCTGCAGGTTACTTTTTTGATGGAGTTAAATAGTGATTTGTGATCACGGGCCACTGAGGCAGACTCCATCTCCTCAGCAACCCGCGACCACCACCCATCCTTACAACGCCTTACGGCTCTCCGAACTTCCGAGCGAAGGCTGCGGTAAACCTCCTCATTCTCTGACGTGGGATGCTGTAGGCGATGAGAGTGGGCCTGTCGCTTTTTCTCAATTAACCTGAACACCTCCTCTGTCAGCCAGGGTTTCTGGGGAGGTCTGGACCGCGTACCCAAAGCAGCCATTGCAGCTGCATGAGTCACAGTCTTAAACCTCGCCCATTTACCCTCGACATCAGGTGGAGTGGGGGACGATGCCAACCCCAGCTGCAAGCGATGATGAAATTCTCGCTTGCAACTTTCATCAGCTAACTGAGACCAGGCCACTTTTGGTTGGAATGGGATCCTGGGTGTACACCCACCACCGGAGTGGAAGAAAGGCAGGCGCATCTTACAGATGACTAGTCGATGGTCAGAGGACAGATCAGCTCCACGGTAGGTCCTGGTGTCAAGGACATGGGTTCGCATCCGCTGGTCCGTCACTATGTAGTCCAGCAGATGTTCTTGCTTGGACCCGGCATGTATCCATGATGTTGTGTGGATGCGCCGATGCCGGAAGAGCGTGTTGGTAATTACAAGCCCATGGGCTGCACAAAAATCTAGCAGCCTCCTACCGTTATTATTGAGCTGATCTGGCCCATGCCTTCCAATCACTCCAGACCAGGTGTCAGCATCATGACCAACTCGGGCATTGAAGTCACCCAACAAGATGACTCTGTCCCGAGTGGCCACTTTAGCCAGCACCTGTGACAGGAGGTCATAGAAAGCGTCTGACTCATCGGCTTTGCTTGCATCCCTCCACGGATGTTCGTCTTCGGTGGGGGCATAAGTAACCACGACCACCACTCCTCGCCTCTGGTTGATGGGAAGGCGAGCCCAAAGTATCCTGGGGCTTACAGCTTCCCACACCTCACCGCCACGCTCCCACGCCCCCTTCATTCTTTTGTTCAGAAGAAGAGCCACACCCTGTTGTTTGGCAGTCTCCTGCCCCGAGTAGAGGACTGTCCACCCCTCATGGTGGCAGGAGCCAGAACCGGTCCACCGGACCTCCTGAATGCCACAGAGATCCAGGCGGTACCGGTCCAGCTCCCGACAGAGGAGTGGCAGCCTCTCCTCCGCAGTGAGCGTTCGAACATTCCACGTGGCCATCCGCAATGGTTTTTTGTTGTTTCTGGAGGAGCCCCGAGGGTGAAAATTCAATCTCCTGGCTCCGCCAAATGGGGTTTGGTCAGGAGACGTCATAAAAGCCTGACCCCCCGGGGCCTCCGGCACAAGCTTATTTGTTACAGGTTTATGTTTAATTCGTGGTTTAGTGGTAATGAATTGAAGGTGGAGGGGTTACCAGCCCCTCACACCCGTCCAGAGCCCCCGTTTAGCCACTGTGGTGGTCACAGACGCCATGAGGGGAGAGGCCAATGGGCATTGGCCCTCCCCCCACAGCAATGTCCACGACAGTGTTGCCCGTCCGGCACCGCGAGGAGGTAGGAGGTTGTTTTGCCGGACTACACACACGCACACACACACATACGCAAGCACACACACGCACACACACGCGGACACACACACACGCATGCACACACACACGCGCCCGTACACACACGCGCACACACGCACACACACGCACACACACACACGTACGCACGCACACATGCATGCACACACACATACGTGCAGAGTGGGTGCAGCTTGGGTGGCAGAGGGGGGATAAAATGACAATGAATTCACATTTCATCGGCGTGCCAGTTGCCAAACACCGCGTGTGAAGATTATGTGCGTGTGTGTGTGAAGAGTGTGTGTGTGTGTGTCTGTGTGTTTCTGACACCCAAGCCAAACACACACACATACAAAGCGGCACGCAGGTAGTAGTCATAATGTAAAGTCACGTCAGGTAGAAAAATAAAATAAAACAAAAAACAATCTATCACGACGTTTCGATCGCAACACAAGCGGTCGTCCTCAGGTGGTTCAGCAGTTCCACTGCTGGATTATGTTTCCCGCCTGAAGACGATTGCTTGTGTTGCGCTCGAAACGTCGTGATCTATTAATTTACTATTCCCGTGACTTGCCCGACAGACTCAAGGAGTATGAAACACGAGTGTTATAACTTGAACAACTAGGAGCGGCCCAGCCATCACAAAGAATGGCTCAATAAGAAGTAGCTCATCACCATGTGGAAATTTATGTCAGTAGCCAAATACTCTTGAACACACGTCGATTCTGAATGTGGACGGGAAAAACCGGAGGACCCGGAGAAAAATTCACACGACCACGGAGAGGGAGAGAGAGACTCCAAATATACAGCAGCAGGCGTCAGGGTTGGGAGCGAACCCACGACCTCATATATACCAGGCGAGGTAGTTAACTTCTATTCTAGATTTGACGCTTTCGTGACTGCAAGGATTCATACTCTTAGGTTTTTTCAGTAAAGTCACGTAGGGGGGGAGGAGGGAGGGGCTTATCTGAATGTGGTAGCCCTCCTCCCCCTTAACTTGTATTTAAGAACTTATATCTTGGAATCTTTGCCTCACTCGATGCAGCAAATCTAGCTGTGACGGTCCCAACCTGATGACGGAGACTTGTGTTGCCTACTAAAAGGCGTGATTTATTATTTTATTTTATTTCTATTATAAATTTTAGTAATTTAAAAATTTTACCTACGTGACTTTACCGAAAAAACCTAAGAGCATAGTTAACATCTCTCTTCTAAGTGTCATGGCAAATAAATGGTTGGCATGAACTCGGCAACGTGTACAGCGATTCCTCGTTGAGCGCCGCGGGAGATGCGCTCTTGAAAAGTGGCATATGTAAATAAATAAAAACAATGCAAATTTGAATCGCGTTTGCACGACACCATCGGCCTGCAGCCTTCCCGTGGCTGCGGGACACAGACCTGAGATGAGCGTGCGCGCCGCTCACCCTACGTATCATTCCACGTGCTGCACCAGACGCACAGCGCAAGAAAGTAGTTCGTGTTCCACCGCGTTACGGCGTCGCGCGCGATCCGCGGCATCACCGTGCACCGTTCCGCTTCGTTCGAAAAGTCTTCCCGCGTGGAAGAAATGCGTGATCGCAGCAACAACTCGTTACCGTGTGATCACCGCATGTTAAGCGAGGACTTAGCATTTCACACAAAGTGCTTTCCCCAAATGAACCACAATACAGTGATACCTCGGTTCACGAACGCTTCTGTTCACGAACAACTCGGTTCACGAACAGAAAAGTTCCGAAAAAGATGCTCCGGTTCACGAACTCCGCTTCGGTTCACGAACAGGAGCCGCGGCCATTTTAATGCTATTTCCAGGCTGTCACATGGTCGTGACTTCCTGTAGGAAGATCGTGGAGAGAAGAAGAGACGCAGAAAGAAGTACTGTGAGTACTGTGAAGACACTTTCAGTGACTTTTTGCTTTTTGGTGTGCTTTTTAGCACATACAGTACTGTACTGTACTACTGTACTGTACTTACTGTATTGTACAGTTCACCCGTTTGAGTGCTTACTGAAGTCATCTCAAGCAAGGTTAGTGTTCTCTCTTTATACATTACTATACTGTACAGTACTAATGTGTATTGTCATTTGTTTCATATTTTTGTGCTTCAAAAACCAAAAAAAAAGGTCAGAACAGATTAACCGGATTTACATGGAACCCTGTGGGAAAATGTGCCTCGGTTCACGACCAATTCGGTTCGCGACCAGAGTCAGTTCACGAATAAAGTTCGTGAACCGAGGTATCACTGTACCTTGCTGATCTCGTCAAGGTGCATAAACCATCACGCAAACTCCGGTCATCCTCGTCGCAGCAGTGGATTTTTGGCTCGCCATCAAACAAAGGCGGCAACCGCATCGCGCGCTTTCAGACGCGCTTCTGCGGCCGTCTGGAACGCTCTTCCTTCAGATATTAGGAAGCCACTGGAGCTAGTCACCTTTAAATCTAGATTGAAAACTAATTTCTTTATAACCTGCCTTTTGTATTTAGTTTGTTGTCCTTCCCCCGCACCTCCGAAATAGCGCGGTTGGCTACGCTCGGTGCGAAAGAAGGGTAAAAACCTACTACTATATTTTGCCACTGGTAAAAGAGATCTCATAGTGTAAATGCTTACCCCGAGCTCTCAAGACTCTGATATTGCGCTGTGTTTGAGTTGTACGCCTTCTGGTGTCATCTGGTCCAACACCAATGGGGACTAGGCTCTAAAGAAAGCCGTCTCGGGTGTGGACCAATCAACTTCAAGGATAGTGCATATTATTATCATTATCAGAGTTGCTTCTTTTTGTTTGCTTTTTTGACTACTTGTGTTGTGGTTATTGCAAACATGATGCCTTGAATAAAGGTGTCAGTTTTGTACCAGTTTAAAAGGGTAAAAACCTACTACTACTATAAGTTCAACATACACACACACACACGTGTTTGATATACGGGGTCGTTCAAAGTCAAGGAGCGCTTGGATAGAAGGATGATGGAAGCTTAACTCACGATGGGGAAATAAGTGGAGGAATTTAATGCAGCTCCCGATAGCAACAAGGAAAATCCTCCACTCCAGGGATGCAGCCGTTCTTGAGATGACGAGCAGAGGGGAGGGGGGGGCAGCAGCCAGAGGTGACGCGCGAGTGAGGGAACCCGACTGCTGGCGGCGCGAGGAGAAAGCTGAGGCACAGCGACGGACTGACCACATGTGGCTGCCATCCTAGACGGGGGATCACCTGTTGGAGCAAAACTTAGCGGAATATTCACTCGATGATGACGATGAGTTTTCTTGGTTGCGTGATGATTTTTTTCTTTTGACGATGATGATAATATTCTTAGGTTTTTTCGGAAGCTTGTGTTGCCTCCGAAACGTCGTGATTTTTATTTTATTTTTATTTTACTTTTATTAATTTTAATTTTTTACCTACGAGACGTTACCGAAAAAACCTAAGAATAAGAATCCTTGCAGTCACGAAAGCTTCAAATCTAGGATGATGATAATGTTTTACCTAATTCAAATTAATTTCATAAATGACGTTAACAGCTCCATGATGATCATGATGATGTCTTCCCGTTAATTAACGATGATTTCCTGTAGCTCTTGACAGCGATGCTCAAGACGTCAGACTTCACGCGAATCACTAACATCCATGATGATGACCACTACATTTTGTCGGCTACGAATTTGTGACGACGATGATCGTGTTTGTATGTACGGCGAACTGCCCGTAAGTAGCCGAGCGCTCTAACCGGAGGCGCAGATGATGATGGCGGCGGCGGCGACGACGACGATGATGATGATGACGATGACAATCGCAACGGCTCGTGTAATTCTCACCCAGGCGAGAACGGAGAGGGAAATCGGACCAATGATGACGACGATGACGATGAGGATGATGACTATGATGATGATGACGATGACAATCGCAACGGCTCGTGTAACTCTCACCCAGGCGAGAACGGAGAGGGAAATCGGACCGATGATGACGACGACGACGATGACGACGATGAAGACCTGGAGGTCTGCTGCCCCTTGGACAGGGAGCCGTTCCGTCTCTTCGAATGCTCCTCGTCCAGCTTCCTCGTGAAACGCCTCCTGGACAAGCTCATGGTCGGCTGTCCCCTCTGTCCCGACGGCGAGATGCAGCGGAGCGACCTGGAAGAACACCTGCGTAACAGGTGAGAGCGCGGCACTGTGTGTCTGTGTGTGTGTCTGTGTGTGTGTGTGTGTCTGTTTAATTCGTAATTTAGTGGTGGTTAATTGAAGGTGGAGGGGTTACCAGCCCCTCGCACCCGTCCAGAGCCCCCGTTTAGCCACTGTGGTGGTCACAGACGCCATGAGGGGAGAGGCCAATGGGCATTGGCCCTCCCCCCACAGCACTGCCCACGACAGAGTTGCCCGAAGCGAACGCCCGCTGGCAGGAGGTCACGGGGCGGCACCTGGGTCTGCCCCGTGACCTCCTGCCAGCGGGCGTTCGACACTTCACGTGGCCTCAAGGTGCACATGGCCTGGCACAAGCGTCGTGGTGATGTCACCGCCACTTAGTGGCGAATGGCGGTTGTTGTTGTTGTTGTGTGTCTGTGTGTGTGTGTGTCAGTGTGTCTGTGTGTCTATGTGGTAGTGTGTCTGTGTGTTAGTGTGTCTGTGTGTCTGTGTCAGTGTGTCAGTGTGTCAGTGTGTCTGTGTCAGTGTGTCAGTGTGTCTGTGTGTTAGTGTGTCTGTGTGTCAGTGTGTCTGTGTCAGTGTGTCTGTGTGTCTGTGTGTCTGTGTGGTAGTGTGTCAGTGTGGTAGTGTGTCAGTGTGTCTGTCAGTGTGTCTGTGTGTTAGTGTGTCTGTGTGTCTGTGTCTGTGTGTCTGTGTGTCTGTGTGTCTGTGTGTCTGTGTGTCTGTGTGTCTGTGTGGTAGTGTGTCAGTGTGGTAGTGTGTCAGTGTGTCTGTCAGTGTGTCTGTGTGTTAGTGTGTCTGTGTGTCTGTGTCTGTGTGTCTGTGTGTCTGTGTGTCTGTGTGTCAGTGTGTCTGTGTGTTAGTGTGTCTGTGTGGTAGTGTGTCAGTGTGTCTGTGTGTCTGTGTGTTAGTGTGTCTGTGTGTTAGTGTGTCTGTGTGTCAGTGTGGTGCGGTGGTGGCCACCCACCCCTTCGTGTTTCCGTGCCAGCCTTCCATAGGTGCTAATCGCTAAGAGCACTTGCCCCAATAGTCTGCTACAGGCTATGCGGAGGATCTTTGTCTTTGTGTGCACGCGTGCGAGTGTGTGCGCGCGGCACAGTGAGAGTAGCAGTGCAGTGTGGCTAGCACGCCGCGCTACGAACCTGGCGACACGAGTTCGATTCCCGCTCGCGACCAACACCGGTGACGATTACCTGAACCAACCGGTCCTGCGCCTCCCTTAGGTCGACTCAGTCTCAAATGAGTACCTGGTGCCACTGGGGATGACACAGGCGTCTGGGCGTGGTGCTGGCCACCCACCCCTTCGTGTGCCGGGCCGGCCTTCATTGATGCTCGTTAACAGCAGTCGCCCCAACAGTCTGTTAAGGCCATGGGGGGGATATTTGTCTTCGTGTGGCACAGTGGGGAGCACAGGTGGTGCATCGGCCGGTCGTCTGAGTAGGTCAACCCATGGCACCTGGGTCTGTCCCGTGACCTGCCTGCCTGCAGCGAGCCTTTTACACTTCACGTGGCGTCGAGGTGCACAACGAGCCTGAGGCGAGGTGTTTTTGTTGTTGTCGTGAACGCTGTCACAATAGGTCACACGGTCGGAGCAATGGTCCCTTGTTGACTATGCCTGATGATTGATCAATTGTTATGGGCGTGTGTGTGTGTACGCACGCGCGTTAATTATCAAGGCAGGTGGTTGCGATTAGCACCATACCCCCGCCGCCTTTATCTCCCTAGTGCTGATGTGTACACGTGGCATCAGGGACTCGTCTAAGGCTGAGTTGACCCACGGAAGGCCCGGGAATGGTTCCGATATCGCTCGCCGCACGTGTTGGCAGTGGCCGGGAATCTAAAGTCGTAGCGTGGCGCTTGAACCACGACACAAAGTCTGCACACGCTCCAACGATTTGTTGAAAGCTGTACAAGGGGAAGCTTTGCCTTCGTGTGCGTGGTAACTGGGCAGTGGCGGCACATTGGTTCTCATGCTGCGCGATGAACCCCGCGAGCCGACTTTGATTCCCGCCTTTCAATAACATCGGCGGTTTGTGATGTGTGAACTGGTTGTGCGGCCATGAAACACATCCCTCCTGCGGAGGGAGCTGGTAGGAACGTTGGGTTGCTTGCTCAATGGCCAGGGTCAACGGCAGCGTGGTGTATTCCGCAAATATGCCCGACTGTGAGGGCGGGCACAAGCCGGCGTGAGTAGGTTAAACGTTGAGTTTTATAAGGGCACCACGGGGTGACCAGCCCCACCCTCCCCCACCCAGCCTCTCCCCACCCTCCCCACCCAGCCCCTCCCCACCCTCCCCACCCAGCCCCTAGCCACCCTCCCCTCCCCACCTAGCCCCACCCTCCCCACCCAGCCCCTCCCCACCCTCCCCACCCAGCCCCTCCCCACCCTCCCCTCCCAGCCCCTCCCCACCCTCCCCTCCCAACCCAGCCCCACCCTCCCCACCCAGCCTCTCCCCACCCTCCCCACCCAGCCCCTATCCACCCTCCCCTTCCCCACCAGCCCCTCCCTCCCCCACCCAGCCCCTCCCTCCCCACCCAGCCCCTCCCTGCACAACGGACACAATAATCCCCTGTGGGCTGGTGTAACCAGGAGGTTCCTACCAGTATGAGTAGCAGCTGTCACGTGTAAGAATCAGCCGGTCGGGCGTGGTGCTGGCTCCACCACTCCCTGGTTCGTTATCCCGGCCTTTAGAGGTCCTCGCTACGGGTCCTTGCTCCAACACGAGGGCTGAACGATTAATCGATTTCAAATCGAAATCGCAATTTGAAACCAAGCGATTGGCAAATCGCAAAGGCTGCGATTTTTTGCGATTTCAAAAGTTCCTATTACTTTCTTATTGGAATTGTTTTATTTTTTATTAATATAATTCTATTTATTCAACTTAACAATCGTTCGATGTTTGATTGTTCTATTTCAATTCAAACATGTGAATAAATACATGTTGGAATCAATTCATATCTTTTTTAGTTTTCATCCTTGTGTGTAGTGGGTTCTACTGAGTCCGCAGACGCACTTCTTGCAGGCAACACATTTATTAAGACCAACGCACGGGGTACTACCCCTTAACACCAGGCTACTATGGAACGGACCCTAGCCTGGGTCCAGGTCAGAGGTCGCAAACGGGTTTTGATTCCTTACCCGTACCCGTACCCGGCCGCACCAGGGTCGCAAACGGGTACCCGTACCCATACCCTACCCGATACCCGGCTACCCGTACCCGGGTATCGGGTACCCAATTGCGACCTCTGGGATGAAGCCATGTTGCAGGCGCGGGTGGGTTGATTCTAGGAACTTGAATTGTGAGAAGAGACAAGACGTTGGGAAATGAGTGACAAACAGTTACTCACCAGTGACTCACGGCCTACACCGTACACGGCCACACCAGGGTCGCAAACGGGTACCCGTACCCGGCCGGGTACGGGTAGCCGGGTATCGGGTAGGGCACGGGTATCGGGTACCCGGTTGCGACCTCTGGTCCAGTCCACGTGTTGGTGACTCTTGTAGGACGTAGAACGTAGATTCTTCAGGATGAACAACAGCAGCTGGTCCTGCTCGGGGGACTCGGCTTCTCTCCTCTGCGGCGTGGCTGGCTCCACCCTTGGCCACGCCCACCTTCTAGAACCCTCGAGCAGGATCTCGACCCTGACACGTGACCACCCGTAGCCCCCACCTGGGGCCCTGTGGAGACTTTGCCGGTCAAGTGTCCTTCGGGGTCAACCAGAGTGCCATGGCCCTGAGTAACCCCATTCCCGTGGCCGGCACTCTCACACCCCCTATCCTGTAGGGGTCGGCACTGCACGCAGGGCGTGGTGCCACTCAGCGCTGTCAGTCAGCGCTCACCGAGCCCCTCTAGTGCCGGAACTGCACCCACACCCACGTTGTGCCCGCGATGTCGTTACCGGCATTACACAGCGACATTCGCGATGTCACTACACTTGCATTACAATATATAGAGCAGTTCATATTGTGATGATATCATGTGGTAATGCTCCATCACGTGTTTTAAATCTGTTGCACAGTGAATATTGAACTGGAGCTTGACTTAAAAAAATGTAATCGCAATCGCAATATTTGTCTGAAAAATCGCAATTAGATATTTACCCCAAATCGTTCAGCCCTATCCAAGACCTTGCGTAGGTTACGCAGGGGGTCTTTGTGTGTGTGTGTAATGTAGCGTAGTGGTTAGCACTACGCTGCGCTACGAACCGGCGACCCGAGTTCAATTCCCGGTCACGGCCAACACCGCCAGTGGTGATTATCTAAACCGGTCCTGAGCCTCCCCTAGGCCGACTCAGCCTCAAATGAGTACCCGGTGCGGTGTGTAAACATCGCCACTGGGGAGACAAAGGCGGCCGGGCGTGGTGTTGGCCACCCACCCCCTCGTGTGCCGTGCCGGCCTTCATAGGTGCTCGCTAACAGCGCTTGCCCCAACAGTCTATTGAGGCTACACGAGGGGGGGAGGTAGGGGGGATCTTTGTCGTCTTGCTACACTCGCATACGGCTTCATCAGCGCGAGATTGCCAGCCCAGATGCATTGCGGTCGGATCGTACATGATTTCATCCGCGAGCTTAATGCGCCGTAGTTTGTGGCGTGTGCGGTGTCTCGCGGCGTGTTAACACGCGTGGGCAGAAGCGCGCGGAGCCGCGTAATCTCGGCTCGCAAATCCCCACCGGGAGACTCGGAGCGGAGCCGCTCTCTCTCGAATAATGGGTCCCCGCGAGAGATGCGGTGACAGCGTGAACGCCTCTTTGCGTTTTTACCCCATTAAGTATGTTGTACCATTCACACCGCTGTGTCCGATTGTATGTGTGTGTATGTGTGTGTGTGCGCATGTGTGGTAGGTGGTAGTGTAGCCGGGCGTGGTGTTGGCCACCCCATCCCTTTGTGTGCCGTGCCGGCCTTCACAGGCGCTGTTTGTTTTTCTTCGTGTGGTGGTGTAGCGGTTAGCATGCAGCGATGTGTTTTTCTTCGTGCTGTGGTTGTAGCGGTTAGCATGCAGCGATGTGTTTTCTTCGT